TAATTAAAAATTAATACTTTAGAACACATTTTTAATCAATAGTACATCATATAATATTTTGATATAAGAATTTAAGTATATAACAAATGAGTCTTAAAACATAATAATAAAAAATTGTTAAATAGATTTTAACTTTTTTAATATAAGAATTAATAAAATAAATAATTTTCCTTTTAGTTTTATTTAACATAGAATGATTAGATTTAATCAGATTCGCTGAGATCTGGATCATAGGATGGATCTTCACTATCATTGCTTTTTATATTTTTATAAAAATCATGGTAGATATCAGGAATTAAAGGAAGGAGATCTATTAAGTCTTTTTTCTTTTCTTTTGAAATAGGTAATGGTTCATTGTATGCTGGTTCTAATGCAAATTCTACATTTCTTGTTCCCCTTCTTCTTAAATTTAATGTTTTAAATGGTTCATCTTCATTTAGACTTTTTTGTAATACATTTTACCTATCATTGAAGAACTATACCTGGCCCACGATACATCATGCCATAGAAACTTGTCCCCTTCTTCATTAACTTTTCTTAAAACTAAAGGTCCTTTGACAATTTTAGCAAAGTTCAAAAATTCATTTTGTTTCATCTCATGGACATGAAATGGTTTTTTTTTGTTTGTGCAACTTATTAAAGTTGCCCAATCTCTTGGGTGAGCTACAGTGATTTCAGATTTTTTTTGCTTTTCAATAAGAGAATGATCGGTATCGCATTCCATATCCAAAAATTTGTGGTTTATCTCATTCAGACTTGTTTTCTGCGATAGCAAATAAAAAAACATAATAGACAAATGAGAATTTTTGTTTTGTCCAGCGCAAGAATCTGAATATATTTACAGTATCAGGCAGCTGCACAAGATTAGTATATACACATGATGCAATTTCATTTCCTCCTCTATGTGCAATTGCTTCATGCCATAAATAACATGAAGCTTGACCTGAATTGAGATCATGTGTGGTCAAGTTGTAAGTCCAGTATAAGCGTTTATAAAAAGCTACAGAAGTCTCCAAGAAAGGTGTTGGTAAACATTGTTGGAGATCAAAAGCAATACAAACTCTTGTTGGATCCAATTTTGATACTTCTTTGTCATGACGCTTGGAACTATAGGCATTGTCTGCATTTTTAACATGTTTATCACGTTCAGTAATTAAATTTGTTTTTAAATTCGCATTTTGAATGTATCACATTTGTGACATGTATCAGCTTTTGGCACTTTAAAATGCAGATTAGTAGTTTTAAATTGTTTTTCATAAGTAGTTCTTCCAACTGGTTCACTGGTTGTCAATCGATACAATTCATACATTTTTGAAAGATTTAGATGGGCAGGTAAATATTTTTTTTGGTTTGTTCTTCGTGTATAATGACTCTCATATGCAGGAAAAGAATTAATATGTCTATGGACATCCATAATAACAGATTCACTAATTTTATTGGGTGATGGTCCAAGCCCACGTTGATCTTTTTGTGTAATGCCTGTGACTGAATTGTTCTTTTTTTTCTATAACTTTTCTTACAAATTTTTCTTTTTCGTCTAAAGTTATCAAGAAACATTTTTTGCAAACTTATTTACGGACACCATTAATAGAAAAAAAGTAGTTATATGTAAAATGTCTTTCTTTCAATGATGTCTCAACTCTTTTCCTTGTTACTATAGTTTTCTTTTGTGTAATTGATGAAGCAATAAAGTCTGATCTCCGAGTATGACAGTCAAGATTAAAATACTCACGAAAAATTGTTTTTTTTTTGTTCATCCAACCATCAGAACGACAAGGTATTTTTCTTCCTTTTGCAGTTTCATATGATAAACCTTTAAAACGATTTGTAGTACGTTGCTTTCTAACTTTTCTCGCAAAAGGCTTAGCAGGAATATTCTCATCTGTTTGTGCTATATTGTCTTCACTACCTGCAAATATAATTATTAATTTTATTAGTTTAATAGTGTTTTGTGTAATTAATATTATAATGATTTAAGCACCTGTGGTATTTTGCAGTGGTATATTATTGTGCAAAGGGTCATGAGTTTCATCGTTTGTACTTTCTTCAAAATCTAATAATTAATAACGATTATTATAAAATAGTACACACTGAATTTCTGTTCATGTGCATTATGGTGTTCATAGTATAATTGTACCTATTACCATTCTTACCTAAAGTCGTTAAGGCTGTTAGAGTTCCTCCAGATGGAGCTTCAATGTCATCTTGCTGAACAACTAATAATATTAAAATATAATATAAAATTAGATAAGTACCTCAATGATTTTATATTAATTTTATTAGTATAATATTATTTTGTGAATTTAATATTATAATAATTTAAGCACCTGTGATATTTTTCAGTGGTATAATATTATTTTCCAGAAGGTCATGAATTTCATTATATTCTGTACTTTCTTCAAAATCTAATAAATTAATGATTATTATAAAATGTTACACAATAAATTTATATTCATGTGTACTATGGTATTCATAGTATTATTGTACCTATTACCATTCTTACCTAAAGTATTAAAAATTGTTAAATTTCCTCCAGATGGAGTTTCAATGTCATCTTGTTGAACAACTAGTAATATTAAAATATAATATAATATAATTAGATAGGTTCTTCAATGATTTTATTAGTTTAATAGTATTTTGTGTATTTAATATTAATAAAGAGTATTACAGTGACTATTATCATTCAATAATTACTATACAATAGTAATTATTACAGTAATGCAATTCAGTATTAAGTTACAATATAAGTAACTTTTTAAAATGTTAAAATAAAAATAAATTAATCACCTGTGCGAGGATTATCGTTTATGATGTTTTTTTATAAAAGAGTGTTGCATCAATTTTTCAATATCATCTTCATGACCTGATAAATCTGATGAATCACACTCCCTTGATTCAGGTTTATAGTCTTTATCAAGATCTGAATCATCTACATCTGACATGTCTGTTGGTCATAATACTAATTAAAATAATTTCACTTAATTTGTTACCCACAGTTAAAATGTTAAAATGTGTATTTCTGAATTAGTTATCGATACTTTACCTGAATCATCTGATGATGTTTGTTTTTTTTTGCTTGATAAAATGACTTGATTCATTATATTTTGTGGCTGTTAATTAAATAGAATATTAAAGTAAATATCATATTTTTTATTACTTATTATAATAATATATTATTATTATTATCATTAATTGGAATATTTACCTGGTGAAGAACGCTTTGATGAACTGGTCATTTCGNTGGAATGGTATAAAACAATCGATACATAATCCTACATTGCATTTTGAGCACATTGTTCTCATAATTGACTTACAATTCTTTCCAGCACACCTTTTCTTTTTTTTATCTTCAGTTTGTTTTACCATATGATCTATTTTGTCAAATCTGATTGAGTCTGAAACCCGACAATCAGTCGAAAATGTTGATTTTGATGGTCTTCCGATTGCTTTTGGCTTAGTTTGATAACTTCGTAAATAAACATTTACGATTTCTCTTTTGAAATCAAGTTGATTAATTTTTGTTCCCCCTGCTTTGTTGTATAAAATCCAACTATTTTGGAGAGCTACATCGAACATCCATGTTATCAAAGGCCAGTACCATTTTTTCCCTCTAATACCAATACGGTAGCATGCAATATTCTGGTCCATTTGATCCGTACCGCCCATATACGTATTGTATTTTGCAATAAGTCTTGGTCTTGGGACTAATACATTTCGTTTTTCTTTTTGCGAAAATCGTTTTACTTGTCCGACATGTTGAGAACCACACGACGATGAAATCATCGTAACGACGGCATTGTCCATCCAACGTAGATACAATAGTCCATCATTCCTCTCCATAGCAGTCTCAAAATATCCACGATTTTTTTTTTTAAATTCTGTTTTGTTTGTCAATGGGCAATTTTTTGGAATCCTATTATCACGAATTGTACCAATGGCACTATATCCACGAAATCTCAAGAATGAAAATAAAGCGGGACTTGAAAATAAATTGTCCATATAAATATTATATTTTAATTTTCTTTTATTATCCGGAATTTCATCTAACAATACCAAAAGTGGGCTAGCAGCCTTACCAAATAATTTTTCATAATCAGAATTCGATTTGAGGTTTTTGCCCTGATAAAGATCAAAATTCACTAGATAACCATCCTTTGTGTTCAGACACCATATTTTATACCCAAATCGTATTGGTTTTCCCCTGATGAATTGCTTACAGCTATGCCGTCCAAAGTATTTCACCATACTTTCGTCGTATGCCAAATGCTCTTCTGGTACGAAATTATCAACACATCGTTTTTTCAACATTTCCATAAAAGGGCGAATTTTCCAACCCTTGTCATTCTGGTTAATTTCTGTATTATTAGAACAGTGAAAAAAACGACAAATTTGCAAAAACCTGTCTCTGCGCATTGATTGGGATACAGCAATATTTTTCATGTCATCACCATTATCCCAATAATGACGTTTTGATGGTAAATCATTATAGCCACTTACGTACAAAATTGCCAAAAAACATCGAATTTCGTTGACAGTAATATTGGGATCGGGACAATTTAAAAATAATGCGTAATTCTTGGTTTCTACTACAAAATGTTGTATTATTTCATCGTCAATAAACTTTTCGAAAATTTCGGTTATGGACATATTTTGATATTTTGAGTAGTCGGGTTTAGGAAATACAGTTGTCGTTTCAATATCAAAGTCGGCCTCCTTTATCCAACACGGTTTACGTTTCGATTTTATACGAGTGCTCATCCACTTTTTATATTTATCCGAAAACTGATTAGGTCCTACGATTGAAGTTTCACGTGTAGTATGAACTTGAGAAATATTATTTTGACTGACTTCATAATTAACGCCTAAACGTTCATTGTTTTGAAACCGAATTTCAGCATTTGCTAACAATTGCCGAGAACTGAGATTGTCAACGAAACTAGTAGGGAAAAATGGTATTTTTATAAATTTGGTTATGAATAAAATGAAAATAAATAAGGGACTTACCCACTCCCATCCTCATCTGCGGAATCTCCATCTGACTCAACATGAGGATAAGGAGGTTCAATAAAAATATCTCCCTCTATATCTTCATTTAAAAGAATATCTAACGCCTCGGAGAGTGAAAACCCATTTCTAATCGAAAAAATGAAAATTCTATTAAAAACAGTCCTATAAACGCCTAGTGTTGCCAAATGGCAACATTGAACTTCAACCTTATATAAATACGTGAATGTTAGTATTTATTTATTTTTTTGTACGTAACTATATAGATAATATTGTACTAAATGCATTTTACATAGAAAAAAAAAATTATATACAATAAAAGTATTCCAAAATTTACTTACTCGAAAGAAAGATCCATTTTTCGTAGAACGACGGCAATGCACAAAGTCAAACAACGATATAACCAAAATGATAATAATAAACGGAATCGATTTTACCCGTATCTTATCTTGAAATAATATACTATTACATAATGTTATTGCCGCTGCAGTAGGTAAAATTCCCAATGAGAAATAAACTTCTAAAAATAGGTCTACCTATGATGCCATATGGCAACGCACGGCGTTTATGGGTTAATAAACTAAATTGGAGCGAAAAGTTTGATAAACACCAGCATTTTTACTTAAGTTATACAACAATACCGCGGTTATTGGTTAATAATATGAACATTTTCAAAACATAATAATATTATTAAGTTATTTAAAAACAGACTATAATATGATAATATTATCTATACTATTTTTGTACAATTTGTGATAATAGTAATTATCGTTTTTGTTATTATTATAATACATTAATAATTTATTATTATGAGAATTTTTGATATCACTAATAATGATTTTGTACTAAACATTTTATTCTTGACTTATGCTATTTATGGACATATGATAATCATGCTACAAAAGGCATAAGTCAAAATAAGCCTTTTATACCTGTACAATAAATTGATACAAAAGGCATAAGTCATATTAAGTCTTTTATACCGGTACAATAAAGTGTTACATAAGTCATGTTATGCCCTTTCTACCAAACTTAAAGTGGAAAAACTCCACATACGCCCTATTTATTTCTTCAGTAATTTGAGTAACAATCGTCATTGACTTATGCCAATTAGACCAAAAAAATCAGCGAAAATCAAGCTTTAAATATACGGAAAAAACCATTTTTGTGAAAAATTGACTTAAGCCCTTTCTACCTGGGACCAAAGATATACTATTACTCAGAGACGTATTTATGTTTTTGGCTGTTCCTTAAAGGCGCCCTCTTTTAATAATAACTGTTAACTCTGATATGGAGTGATGATTAAAAAACAAAAACATTTTCAATGCAAATATATATATTACGGTAAATTAATTAATAAACATTTAGAAAAAAATATAGTTTTCTTCGTTAATTTTGTTTTGCAAATGTATTTATAATGTCATTAAAACTCATATCCATAGTAAGTGTAGATTCAATCGACAAGATTGCTAACCTATTAAGACGATCATCAGTCATTCTCGACCTCAAATAAGATTTAACCCTCTTTAATGCTGAAAATGATCTCTCGGCTGAACAATTGGATGTTGGACAGCATAAATACATCCTTAATGCTATATCTACGTAAGGAAACAGTTCTTGAAGTTTTTCAGTTCTGATCATTTTACAAACATCCATTACAGTTTTAGGTCTTATGTTTTCAGTTAAGCTCATTAAATAGCTTCTAAATTGTATAAACTCGTTAGCAAATGAAGACGAAAGATCATTTGTATATATATTTTGAAGTATTTCTGCTTTTTTATAAACTTCTGATGGTGATAATTTTATTATTTGAAATAAAAAGTTAAATTTTTTATTGGATTCATCATAGTAGAATTTTCTTCTTCCTAGTTCAGAATGTAGATTGTCAATAATAGCGTAATAAGTATTAATCCTAAAAGAGTCTCGAATTTCAAAATTTATTTCTCCTTCTCTTTTTTCATCTGCAGTTAATTTTCTTTTTCTTTTGCGTATTTCTTGATATGTTTTGTGTCCCGATTTATTAATTGCTCTCTCTTCATAGACATCAAACATACTCCTTAAATCTAATACATATCGAATTAACGATTCGTATAAACATACCACTGTTTCTAAATCAATCTCAACTGATTGCAATTGTTTACTAGTTTTGTTGAATCTTTCTAGTATATCACCCCATAATGTGGCCATAATAGCTGTTTCAAGACAGTCTAATTTTAAACATAGTCCATTAGCTTCTGATCTTGTGATTGATTTTTCTGATTTATCATTTTTGATAAAAGACAGTGTATTAATTATTTCATTCCAATTTTTGTTTAAACTAATACTTGCATCAGATCTTGCTGACCACCTGGTATCTGATAGTTTTTTAAGTGATACATTTTCTCTTTTAGTTAAATTGGTCTGAAGTTTTTCCCATCTATGTGTAAAAGAACTGAAAAATTTATAAATATTTTGAAGCAGATTAAAAAATTCAGAAGCATTTCTACAACAGTCTACAGCGCATTCACCAACAAGATTTAAACTGTGTGCCGAGCATGGTACAAATGTAGCTAAAGGATTAACTTCTTTAATGCGAGCTTGAAGTCCTGTATACATACCACACATGTTAGACGCATTGTCGTAACTTTGACCACGGCAGTTGTTTATATCTAATCCATGCGATTCTAAAACTAAAAATACAGCATCTGCTAATTCTTCAGATTTATGACCAGAATTGGGTAAAAACCCTAAAAATCTTTCTACCGGACTGCCATTATTTTGAACATACCGAAAAATAAATGATAGTTGATCTACATGGCTAATGTCAGGAGTAGAATCAATACTGATGGAAAAATATTTAGCTTCCTTTATTTCTTTTACCATTTGTTGTAAAACATTATCTGCCATTATACTCATGAACTGCTCATATATATTACAAGATAGGTATGATGTTGAACCTTTTCCTTTATTGCCAAACTTTTCAATATGCTGTGCTAAAAAAGGATCGAATTGAGCAATAAGCTCTAAGCTCATCATGAAGTTCCCATTATGAACTGATCCAAAATAGTCATCATCACCTCTAAAGGACAGTCCACGAGAAGAAAGTGATTTAACAACAGCTACAACTCTAGTCAATACATTTTTCCAATAACTTATTTCCGTTTCTACTTGATACATCAGCTTTTGATCGATTCGATTTAATACTTCTCCTCTTTCTTTCATTTTAATTACACACAGTTTGTGGTTTTTTGAATTTTCATGACGCTTAATTTTTTCTTCTCCTTTTTTCCAATCTGAAAAGCCAACTGTGGCAAACGATGTAGTACCACCAAATAAGTAGCAGGGTGCACAAAATATTGATCCTTTACTTTCTGAGTAAACCAAAAAGGTTCGGTTAATTTTTTCACCATTAACAAGAGTAGATACAAAGAAACTTTTTGACAAATATCGAAAACGAGTATGTCTAACACCACCAATTATTCGATTAAAAGTTCTTTTTGATTTATGGAAATTATTGTTCTCCAAATTTTGATTAAATCCATTTATTGATAAATAATCTATCGTTTCTTGATTTTTCATCCAATTGACAGGGTCATTTCTAAAGATAAAATATATTCATTTAATATACTATACATATATAACTATATTATAACAATTTTTAAATAAACATTCAGGCATTAGGCAATAGAGATTAATTCATAATCTAACTAGAGAATAGTGGTATTAGTTGGTATCATTTTAAATGAACAGAGTGTAGTAGCGTACAGTGTACTAAATTTATTTATATTTTAATTTCTAACATAATTTGACATAAGAAACTACTAAAAAAAAATAGTCTTCCTATGTGCATATTTATAGTTGTAACTTATTATGAAAAAAAAATCTTACTCAGGAATGATACATTTTTTAAGAAGACTGTTATCTTCGTGCATGGACAAACATGGTGTTGGTGTATTATTTATTTCTTTAGATTCTGTAGACAATTGAGTTTTACTAGTTTCGGTACTGCTCTTATTTGATAAAATTTGATAGTCTGGATTAGATAGATTATATTCCTTAACAGTACAGCTATGATCATTTTTGCTTGTATTATTTACTTCATTTTCAACTGAAAGCATTTAAGCATAAATAACGATTATTAAATATATCTACATTTTAGTTTAAATTATGTACATTGAATAATAAATAACATAACAATATGTATATACTATATATAGATTATAGGTACATGATATTTGCAAAATTAATAACAGGCATAGTTTTGTAAGTAAATAAACATACTTTGGTTAGGCTGTCTATCTGGGCACCTAAAATAGGTTTGTAATTTAGCAGTTTTTGAAATAATTTTGGCTTGAGCTTCACTTTTTGCATGAGAGCGTTTTCGGTTTTCTGCTCCACTAAGCTTTTTACTATAAACCATCGCCGCGTTTAAAATAAGAATCCAACAAGACAGAAATGTAGCATTAGAAGTTCATAACATTAGCAAGCTTAAAAAAAATAAGATAAGCAATAAGCATAATATTGAATAATAAAAGCTCCATAAGCTCAGTACGCAGGATACAAATTACATTTGATAATAAATAATAATAACGTTAATATTAAAACTGAAAATAATAATCAAAATGCAAATATTTACCTTATTCAAGACTGGATACTGCAATACAGAGCATTAGGCATAGGTATAACGTATAACATACAAAAGAGTAAAAATATTAAAATGCATAGACCAAACTACCAAAGTCACTACTACCAACTTCAGTATTACACATGGTAGGCTATCAGTAATCAATTTTGTGTAGTTGGTACATAGTATGATGAAGTAGGTCTATGATTTTGACATGATAATAATATAAACATTTTCATGGCAATGATATAAAATAATTATTTTTACGATTTTCTATGATTCTACCATTCTAACGCCTAGTGGCTGGCGCCCTCTCAAAATTTGGCGCCCAGGGCCCAAGCCCCCCCTGGCCCCCCCTAAATACGTCTCTGCTATTACTTTAACATTTCATTAAATTATACAATTCAAGGTTTGTGATTCAGATGCTAGAATTTTAAACGTAAATGCTAATTTTCCTGGTAGTACTCATGACTCCTATATATGGCGTCAAAGTAGTGAATCAACGTACATGGAAAATTTACATAGTAATGGTCATTCATCATATTTTCTCTTAGGTATAAATTACCAATCTTCTCTGTAATTGGTATAAGATACATTTTATATATTCAGTAAAATATCTTCTGTAGGTGATTCAGGATATCCACTAAGATCTTGACTTTTAACGCCACTAAGTGACCCAGCGCCAGATTCTCCTGATGCTGGTTATAATAATTGGCATACAAGTACAAGGTCAACAATTGAAAGATGTAATGGTATTCTGAAAATGCGCTTTAGGTACATATTCTCTTTAGGCTAAATAAATAATATATAAATAATTCAAACATTTATTTTATTAAATTATAATTAGATGTTTACTGAAGCATAGAGTTTTGCACTACCACCCAGAGAG